CGGGATCCAGGCCGGCATCCCCAGCCCCATCCTGCGTGTGGGCATCCCTCACCCTGCTCCTGCCCACCGCGGTACCCAGAGGGGGAATGGGACAGTGGGGATGTCCCCTGTGGCTGTGAGGGTCCCCCGTGGCTGTGAGGGTCCCCCGTGGCTGTGAGGGTCCCCACCCACTCTCGCTCTCCTCAGGCGGGCGCGCTTCAAGCGCTCCAACAGCGTGACGGCGGGCGTGCAGGCCGACCTGGAGCTGGAGGGCTTCACCGGCCTGGCCGTGGCCACCGAGGACAAGGCCCTGCAGTTCGGGCGGCCGTTCCAGCGGCACTCCTCGGAGCCCGAGTCGGGCCGGCAGTACGCCGTGTACAAGACGGTGCACACGCAGGGGCAGTGGGCGTACCGGGAGGATTACCAGCTGCAGTACGACACGGTGGAGGTGCCCCGGCGGGACGCCTGGATCGAGAGGGGCTCCCGCAGCCTCCCCGACTCCGGCCGCGCCTCCCCCTGCCACCGAGACGGGGAGTGGTTCATCAAACTGCTGCAGGCGGAGGTGGAGAAGATGGAGGGCTGGTGCCAGCAGATGGAGAGGGAGGCCGAGGACTATGACCTGCCCGAGGAGAGTGAGTCAGGGGGCTGTGGGTCCTGTAGAGCTGGGGGGCACAGTCACAGTCCTCCCTTAAAACGTCTCCCCTGCCACAGCTGAAGAGGTTGAGTGAGGGCAAGACACGTGGGGAAACCCTCTGGGGCTAGAGGGATCTGGAGGAGGGAGGAGACGTGGCATGTGTTCGAGGGGTCTGAGCTGCTCGTGCTGTCCCACTACCCTGGGGGTGCAGGTCCCCAGTGCACAGGGGAGTCTCTGTGCCCCCTGGGAGTGCTGAGTGTCTGCTCTCCCCCCCCAGTCCTGGAGAAGATCCGGAGCGCAGTGGGCAGTGCCCAGCTCCTCATGTCCCAGAAGGTGCAGCAGTTCTACCGCCTCTGCCAGCAGAACATGGTGAGTGTGGGCAGTGGTGCTGGGGGTCAGCTGTGGTGGGTGGGGGGTCTCATTCCCTCAGCCAGTGGAAAACAGATTTTGTACCACCATGGAGGAGAGCTGGACATAGAGCCCCACCTTGCACTGGGGGATGGGATGTCCCATGGGTGGACATGGATGACACTGTGTCCCTCTGTCCCCACAGGATCCCAATGCTTTCCCTGTGCCCACCTTCCAAGACCTGGCTGGCTTCTGGGACCTCCTGCAGCTCTCCATTGAGGACGTCAGCATGAAGTTTGCAGAGCTCCAGCAGCTCAAGGCCAATGGGTGGAAGATTGTGGAGCCCAAGGTAAGGGCAGTGCCACTGGTACCCGTCCCTGTCACTTCTCCTCCCTCCCCAAACACATCTGCGCCCAAACCACTGCTGGGCTGCCTCTGGCAACTGCTTTTAGCAAACGGTGGAAAAACAGACCTGGGAAAAACTGAGGCAAAAGAAGGGCTGCTCTCCCACTGAGGTATCCCAGCTGCCTGCAAGGGGCTGGGCAGGCTCCTGGCATGGGATGGACGAAGGGATGAGCAGTCCTGCCTTGCAACTTGGGCACACGTGGGAGGGTCTGTGGAGCCCCCCACCGTGGCTTTGGCACCCACGGCACTCCTGTTCACCGGCACTGGCTGGGATGCCCAGTCCCGGCAGGTCCCAGCCTGAAGCCCCTGTTGTCTGTGCAGGAGGAGAAGAAGGTGCCTCCCCCGATACCAAAGAAGCCGCCGCGCTCCAAGGTGCACCCGGTGAAGGAGCGCTCCCTGGACTCGGTGGACCGGCAGCGGCAGGAGGCCCGCAAGCGGCTCCTGGCGGCCAAGAGAGCCGCGTCCTTCCGCCAGAGCTCGGCCACCGAGAGCGCGGACAGCATCGAGATCTACATCCCCGAGGCACAGACCCGGCTGTGACCGCGGCCTTCGCTTTTCTACCCGGACTGCACGGCGTGGCCGTAGCTCACTGTGATAGGGGGCCGCGGGGACACCCTGGGGCAGCTCTTGGCCCCACTCACAGCTTCTCTCTTTTCTATCTTAGACCTTTCGTGGATCCGACGGCGGGTGAACGCAAGCCCGGTTCTGCCCCGTCCCTTGCCCCCCACCCCCTGCCCGCATGCCCCTGCCAGCCTCTCCTGGGGTCCGGGGCTCTCCCTCCCTCTGCCCTCCCTGGGGCTGTGTCCCAGCTCTCTGTCCCTTTCCCACTTCCCAGCCCTTCTGCACACCCTCCCTGCATCCCAACCCAAAGAGAGGTGACCCTCAGTGCCCGACCCCACCGGGCTGGAGGGGAGAGGGCTGCAGGCAGGCCCCCCCCCGCCTCTCTGTACTCAGTGCAATCCCCCGGTGTGCGGCAGGGATGGACCCCCAGCCCCTGCTCGGCCAGAGCCCCCCAACCCTGCTCCCAGCCCCACTGGGACTCAGCAGGGACAAAGGGGTCCCCTCGCTGCTCCCCCCACCTGCGGCTCAGGTGCAGTGGGGACACAGGGCTCCCTCCCCTATATACATATATAAATATAACCCAAGGAATAAACCAGAAACTACACGTGACCAGCGCTGTGTCCTGCCTGGTGGGACGGACCAGCGCAGCAGAGACCCCCGGTCACGGCGAGCCGCCCCGCTTCCCTCGCACGGAGCATCGCCACGCGCTTCTCCCCTTCCCGCTCAGCCCTCCTTCCCCTCATCTGTCCGTCCTTCCCTCCTGCCATCCTGGAGTCTGGGAGCACCTCTGCAGTGTGGCACTAGCCAGGGACAGGGAACACAGACCCCCTGTGCCTCGCTGCAGGTGGGAGACCCTTCCCCGGTGTGTGAGCGAGGCGGCAGCAGTGGGAGACCTGCCCGCAGCCCGTTCCTACCTGCGGTGCCAGGGACCACAGCTGGGTTTGGCACCACTGGCTGGGACGGGAGCGTGGACATGGCCAGCAGCCACCCCTTGAGTGTGGGGCTGCTAGAGATCCCCCTGGTGGGTCACTCCTTCTCCCCGAGCTCCTGGTGCCCTGCAGGATGGGACAACCCAAGATGGGGCTGTCACGTACCTGGTGCCCCCTGGGGCCAAGGAACACCCCGGGATGTGGCTGCTCCCAGCTCCTCCATCGCTGTGCACAGAGCCTGGAACAGGGTGGGGGTGCCCCAGTGGTCCCCTGCAGGGCAGAGCAGTGTGGTGGGGCAGGAAGCTGCATCTGCCCCATCCCTGTCCTTATCCCCATTTCCAGTCCTTCTCCAAGCATCCTGTGGCCCCCACTGTCCCTTTTGGTGGCAGAAGGGGGAAGGACCCCACCCCTGTCCCTCGCCACGCCAGCAGCCCCACGCAGCATCACCAGCCACCCCCAAAGCAGGGCCGGTGGGTTCCAGGCAGCTCCCAAAATCCGGGGCCAAACCTCCCCAGGCCCTTGGGCAGGGCGGTGGGGCCGGAGGCAGCCGGGGGGGCCGGGGCCAAGCAGGAGGACGCCTCGCTGGGGTCCCTCGGTGCTAAACACCTCCGTGACGGCAGCGCCCACTCAGCCACCCAAAGCCCTTCCCCACCCCGCTCCCCCTGCACCTCGGATTTAGGGATGTGCCTGGGAAGGGCCCCCCCGGCCCCCCAGCCCGGCCAGCGCCGTGCAGTGACCGTGACACGTGGCTCCCTTTTTATTGTAACGAACCGCCGCAATTAATAAAGATGACTTTGGTTACTCCGGGCCAGCAGCCGCCTCCCCGCGGGGACACGGCCGGCGCCGGGCTCGCCTTTCACCCGTCTCCCATCCCTTTGAGTCCGTGGGGAGGGACAGGGGTTGTCTGAGGGGTGGGAGAGGTGTCTGAGGGGTGGGAAATGGGTGTCCGTGGGATGGGAGAGGGGCTCTGGCTGGGGCAGGAGCAGATCTCCTGTGGAGTGCCTACGGTCTCCCCATGGTTCTCGCTGTGGAGATCTCCCACGAGTCTCCCCATGGGTCTCTTCCCATGGCTCTTTCCCTGGGGATGTCCCCATGGGTGTCCCCGTGGGTACCTGCATAGGTCACCCCATGGCTCTCTCCCAGTGGGTCTCTCTCTTTCTGAGTCTCTTCACAGGGGTCTCCCCGTGGGTATCACCCCGTGACTCTTCCCATGGGTCTCACCCTATGGTTGTCTCCACGTGTTTCTCCCCATGGATCTCCTGCCGTGGGTGTATGTGTATCCCTGGATATCTCTGCATGTCTTCCCCTGTGACTCCTGGCCTGACTCCCCTCGTGGGTCTCTCTCCATGGCTCTCCCCCCCTGACTCCCCCCATGAATCCCCCTGTGACACCCCCATGGGTGTCTTCCCGTGACTCTCTCTCCATGACAACCCCCTGTGTCACTCCCTTATCTCCCTCTGTGACTCCTCCCCTGTGACTCCCACAGTGGGTCTCCTCCCGTGGGTCTCCCCATGGGCATCACCAGGTGCCCCCCCATGTCCCCATGTCCCCCATCTCCTTCCACGTCTCCCATGTCCCCCCCTGTCCCCCATCTCCTTCCACGTCTCCCATGTCCCCATGTCCCCCATCTCCTTCCACGTCTCCCATGTCCTCCCATGTCCCCTATATCTCCCCATGTCCCCCATGTCCCCCATGTCTCCCATGTCCCCCATGTCCTCCCATGTCCCCCATCTCCTTCCATGTCTCCCATGTCCTCCCGTGCCCCCCGTGCCCCCCATGTCCCCTGTGCCCCCTGTGCCCCCCATGTCCCCCATATCCCCCCATGTCCCCAATGTCCCCCATGTCCCCCACGTCCCCCATATCCCCCCATGTCCCCCATATCCCCCCGTGCCCCCCGTGTCCCCCATGTCCCCTGTGCCCCCCGTGCCCCCCATATCCCCCCGTACCCCCCATGTCCCCGTCCCCCGTGTCCCCCCCGTGTCCCGGCCCGGCCGCTCCTCCCGCGGTGCAGTTCCCGCGGTCTCCGTCAGGGGGCGGTGCGGCCCCGCCGGCGGTGCCGGTGACCGGAACGGGCGGTGCCGGGCGCGGGGAGCGGGGCCGGGCCGGGCCGGGCGGGGGGTCCCTGCGGGCCCGGGGGGGGGGGGTCCCGGCGCGGGGGTCGCGGGCGGTGCCGCTTTCCCGGCGCTGTCCGCAGCCATGTGGTCCGTGCTGTGGGCGGCCGTGCGCTCCAAGGCGCCCTACGTCACCTTCCCGGTGGCCTTCGTGGTGGGGCTGGTGGGCTCGCAGCTCGAGTGGTTCCTGCGCGGGGACCCCCCGGCCACGGCCCAGGACGAGAAGAGCATCTCGGAGCTGCGGGAGGACCGCAAGCTGCAGGAGATCGCGGGCGAGGACCTGACCAAGGTGGTGAGCCTGAAGGACAAGCTGGAGTTCGCCCCTCGGGCCGTGCTCAACAGGAACCGCCCCGAAAAGAGTTAATAAAGGGTTCCCGGGGCAAAGGCCGTGCCCCGGAGCGGCCGCCGGCACTGCCCTGGAGCTGCACAGCTCCCACCGGCCCGGCCCCTGCCCCTGCGGACCCTCCGGAGGGTCAGGTTCGCCCGCGCCGTGGATGTGGCCAAGGAACAGCCCCCAGACCCCGGTGGGAGCGGGCAGGGGGCCCTGCGAGGAGGCGGAGCGTGGCTGGAGCTCATCAGCCCCCGGCCCGGCCTGGCCCCTGAAGCACAGAACCCTCCCGGCCTGGTTCCACCTGTGTCTCCTCAGGTTTGGCTTCTTCCATGGCGTGACCGTAGAAGAAGGTTGGACCTGAGTGCCGTGAGATGGGGTCAGGCTGAGCACCGGCAGCAGGAGGAGCTGCTGCCCTGCTTCCAGATGCCGTGTGGCTCTTGGTGAACCCCAACACAGCCCCACGCTACCACGTTACACCCACGGGAGCCTGGGCAGTGGTGGAGATCTCTGGGGACCCCTCTCTGCATCATCCCTGCGAGGAAGGGTGACAGAGGGAGGTGGAAGTCCTGGCCCTGCTCTGTCGTGGTGGTGTGTGGGGAACAGGGGGATCTCTGCCCTCTGCCACAATAAACTTCTGTCAGTCCTCGGGCCTCTGTGTCTTCTGCATCAGCACGGCCCCAGCCCTGGCTCAGGGAGTGTCTCTGCTCCCTGTGTGTTCAAGAAGCATCTCCTGCAGTGGGACAAATGCCATCGCTGTCCCGAGCTGGGCACGGCCCTCGGGGCCTGGCAGCAGGGTGGTGGGCAGGAAGGAGGGGTAGGCACCGAAATCCCAGCCCGTGCTGCGGCTGTGCCTCCCTCCTGGCTCCCCCGGCCACGTCATCTGCTTCCCATCCACCTCCTTATCTCGGCGACAGGGCCTGTGTCAGTCGGTGGGGTGGGTGGGGTCCCACAGGACTGGGGTGGTCCTGCTGGGGTGCTGGGCAGGGAGAGGCTGGCAGGGAGAGGCTGGCAGCGAGCACTGGGACTGGTGGCCGGTGTCCCCTCCAGCCTCGGGCATTGCTGGCAGAGCAGGGACGAAGCCCTGCCAGAGGTGCTGAGCAGGGAGCCAGGCCGAGGCCGGGGCTGGGGTTATCGCTGCCTCCCAGCTTGTTTTTTCCCGTGGTGCCTGAGCAAGGCCCCAGTGCTGCCCCAGCCCGGCCTTCCCCTCCCGGGGACCATAAATCTGCCGTGCCCGGAGCAGAGCCCCGAGTCAGCAGCCAGTCAGCGTTTCACACACTCTGTCCTGCAGCCTCAGGGCCAGCTCCTGCCCCGCTGACAGCTTTACTGCCCTGCCCTGGCTCTGTTTGCCTCCCAAGCTGCTGTCCTGGGCTGGATCACTGCCCTAGGCCAGGCTCACAGCCCAGGAATGCTCCAGCCTTTGCCACCACGGTGTGTGAGGGCAGCTGAGCCTGGTGGAGAAGGTGCAGAAGGAGTCTGGGGGTGATGCAAAGCCTGTCCCAACCCTGTCCCGCTGCCACCTGCCCTGGGGATCGCAGTGCCACCGCCTCATCCTCCTGCCAGGCTAGCACTGTCCCCTGAAGTAGCCCCTGTCCTTGGCCTCCTGCTTTCCCAGCCTGGCTGTGGGGTGATGGCTGGTCCCTATTGTGTGCCGGGGTGGGAGCAGGGCCGTGTCCCTTTCCCCAGCTGGGACCAGCTCGGAAACGGCTCCAAAGTGCCTTTGTTCCCCCCACGCCAGAGTGGCTCCCCCGGCTGTTTATAGCCCATTGATCCGCCTGTTCCCAGGCCTGGCCGGGCACAATTGGGCTTTGGGGAGGCCTCGCTGCCCCGTTTCCTCTCCCAGGCCCATGCAGTGCTGGTCGGGGGGGCTGCTCTGGCGTGGTGGTGGAGTGATGCCGTTGGGGAGGGCTGAGCCCTGATGGTGACAGTTTGGGCATTGATGGCACCTGGCAGGGCAGTCCCTGCCCTGCGCCTGTCCTGGCTGCCTGTTGTGCTTCCAGCTGTTTCCCATGTGTCCAGGGACTCCCGTGTGTCCCCCTGGCTGTGGGGCTGTGGATTCCCGCAGGCGCTGGGACGGGTGAAGCCACTTCCCTGAGCCCCGTCGCCTTTCTCCTGAGCCCTCCCTTCCTCCCATTGAATCCCAACAATGTGCTGCCTGGGAAGCGCCAGCGGGACAAGAATAGGAGCCGGGAGGCACTCGGGGCTGGGGTGAGCAGCCACGGTGGCTCACGAAGAGCCAGAGGCAGCTTTGCTGAATAAACCATTATCATAAAAACCTGCCCTCCCGAGCCTGCCCTCAGCTGCTCACACACAGCTCCTTGGTCTGTTCCAGCGGGTTTGTAATCCAGCTGTTCCCAGCATGGCCCAGCTGGGCACTGCAGTGGGAGTGTGGCAAGGAGCTGTGCCAGCAGCCAGCCTGTCCCCAGACAGGGAGTCCCATGCCTGGCCTCGAGGCTGGCATTTTGTGGGAGAGCATCCTCCAAGGCTTGTCCAGCTTCAGGGATAACCCCCTGTCCAGAGCCGGCTGTGGCTACATGGTGCCATGGAGCAGGGATTGAATCCAGCAGCCACAAGTGCTCCCTGTCCCTGCCCAGCCCATGGTGCCCATGTCCCAGGCTCAGGGGGTCAAGGTGGCTGTGGTGCCCTTGACAGGTGCCTTGCTGGCTCCGAGGGTGGCTGCAGCTTCCCGACAGACCCTCTGCCCTGCCCAGGGCTGGGTTTGTCCCCGGGATCCATCATGAGCAGCTCACGAGAGGAGCAGGTGGTGGTTTCCGGAGGCAGGATGCCGGGAGCCAGCTGTGCCCCAGCTCCCTGGGGTGGCTCAGGGGCCTGGGACAGCTGCTGTGCAGGATGGGGGGCACTGAGACCCCCCCCCCAGCCTCTCAGCACACCTGGATGGCCGCAGCGGACGTCCGGTGAGATCAGACAGGGATACACCAGCTGTGCAGGGCTGGGGACGCTGTGATGTGACCCTGTGCTGGCACGGGGATGGCCCGGGGCCGGCCGTCCCCTCCTCAGAAGGGTGATGACACTTTGGGAGAGAGGAGCAGTGTGGGAGCTGGGGGGGGGAGCTGGGGCCTGCAGGGACTCACGCTCCCGTGTCCCGTCCTGGCGCAGCGCGGTGATCCCGGGACACCCTGGCCCTGCCTGTGGTGTGGTGTCCCCGTGGCTCGGGGACCCAGAGGGTGCATGGCAGAGCAGACAGCTCATCCCCTCAGCGCGTCCCCCACAGCCCCTGGGGACATCTGCTCCCTCCCAGCCCAGGCTTTTCCCAGGCTCCAGTTTTGCCCTTTTCCCAGCCTTCACATCTCACTTGCCTCTTCCTGCCATGGCTCCCTCCAGGCTGGGCCTGGTGGCTCCTTCTGTGGCCGGCAAAGGCCCTGAAGTACCGTGGGAGAGGAGCAGTGACATCTCTTGAGCCCTGACTGGGGACAGCTGCAGTGGGACCTGTTCCATTCCTGCTCGGCATTGCCTTTTCCAGCAGCCACAGCCCAGGGCTCACTCCCCATCCCCAGCACCCCAGGACCACCGCAGCTCCTTGTTTTCAGACAGCATCCACCTTCCCATGCCAGGAAAAGCCCCCGGCTCTGCAGGCAGCAGCCCCTGCCCGCCCGGTGTCGCATCAGGACGATGCCCTGAGCTGCTGGCAGGGGTAGGACCCATCCCGGGGTGGGCACCGCGGTCCTGGTGCCTCCACACGAGGAAGTGGCCGGGGTGGGGGAGCGACAATGTCAGGATGCGGGAAGTCGTCGGGGCTATTGAGCTCGTTTCCTCCCGCCCGCAGTTCCCACACGGGGTGCATTGTCTGCCGTGCCCGCGCGTGGAGGGCTAAATATAACCCCGGGGAGGAAGGGAGCTCCGTGGGGTTTGCCTTTCCTTCGCTGGAAAGGGCAGGATTGCGCCCGGTTTGGGGTTGCCCTGATGGTGAGTGCTGCTGTGGACAGGGCTCCGTGCCTGGCCTGGGAGGATGCTCCTGCCTGGTCCTGCTCCCTCTGAAGGGGTGTGGGAAATGGGGCACTGGGAAGCTGTGGGCAGAGCCCTGGGCATGGACAGGGCCCCTGCCTGCCATGGCCCTGCCCATCCCTCTGCCTGTCCTCCCCCTCAGCTGTGATTCTGCTCCTGCTGTGGCTCTTCCTGAGAGCAGGCCAGATTTAGACACTTGCTGTTTGCTGTGCACTGGGAAAGCTTAAAAATAACCCCCTTGGTGCTCATCCAGTGTCTATGGCAGAGCTTTCCAAGCAGGACAGCCCTCTGCCCCAGACCATGGCAGAACTGGGCAGGGAGAGCCCAGCACAGACTGGTCCTAACTGGGAAGAGGGCAGAAACATCTCTGCAGAGGAACCACAGGACTCCTGGGGGCTGTGACTGTTGTTAGATCAGCACCCCCAGAGGGAATTGGGGTCCCAGGGAGCGTGTGGCCCCTCCAGGACTGGCAGAGCTGCCCCAAAGTGTTCCCTAACTCAGGGGGTGCCCCATGATGAGTCCCCTCATTGCAGCCCCCGGGCTGCCTGTGCCAGCACAGGGCTCAGCATCCCAGTGCTGGGGGAGCGAGTGCCGTTCCCAGAAAGGCACCGGGGAGGGGGGGACCTGTTTACTCAGGAGGGAGTGCGGAGGTGTGAGAAAGGCCGGCCACTGTCTGTCCCCGGGCTGTGCCAAAGGGCTGTGCCGGGCCAGCCCGGGCCCTTATCAGCTCCAAACTTTTATTTGCCTAAGGGCCGCCCTCCCTCCTTCTGGGGGGGCCGCTGCCAACCCCGGCCCCCTCCCCGCAGGTGAGCCCCTCGCTGTTGTTGTTGGCGTGTGCCACGGCGGGGCCGGCGGCTCAGGGTCACTCCGGCTGCCCCGAGCTCTTTGTCACAACACGGGAACAATAGTGGGACGCCGAGCTGTGTTTGGGCACCGTGTCCAGGGGCTCGGCCGTCTTGTTTTCCACCTTGCGGGGTCGCTGGGAAAAGCGTGATGTTCCCCTGGTGCCAACAAAAATAGGAGTCCCGGAGAGCGGGGAGGTGAGAGGGGGACACAGAGATGGGTAAACATGGCTGCTCCCATCCCTGTCACACGGGCACGTCCTCCTGGCCCTGCCCTGGGCTGCTCTCCCCAGAGCCACAGTGGGGCTCTGCAGCTCTGATATTCCCCAGTATTCCCCAGGGAATACTGGGCTGTGCCTCCCCAGGGTGGCCCAGGGGATCCCCATCGGGCAACAGTGGGAGCAGGGCAGGGTCCCTCTGGAGATGGTGGGAGCAGGGCAGAGTTATTTCAGGCAGGGTTTACCCCAGCATCCTCACAGAGGGAAGAGCTGGGAGCTGGTGGTGTGCACCCCAGGCCCCCACCCAGGGGGATTTCACCCCCCTCATCCCTTGGAGGGAGGAAGCCAAGGGTGGGCTCGGCTGCCAGCCCGGCTCTGCCCCAAGGGCAGCTCAGCCGGGTGCCTCCCTCCTCATTTCCTCCAGGGGCCAATGGCAGCGATACTGCCCCGTATCACCCATATTTCATTTTCTCCAGGGTATTTTTAGCCCGTTCCACCCTTGCTGGAGAGGCCCTTGGCAGAGAGCAGGCTCTGCCCTGGCCTGGCTCAGCCAGAGAAACTAAACAACCGCCCCAGCCACATTGTGTGCCTTTATCTGCAGCTCATTTCCACCTATTATGCAGCCACA